ATACAAACAAAAATCTATTTTCAGGCCAGGCGTAGTGGCTCACACCTATAATCCTAGCACTTTGGGAGTCTAGGGCAGGAGGATCGCTCGAGGACAGGAGTTTGAGACCATCCTGAGCAAAAGTGAGACCCCGTCTCTACAAAAAGTAGGGAATGGTGGCAAATACCTGTAGTCCCAGCTACTTGGGAGACTGAGGTGGGAGGATCCCTTGAGCCCAGGAGTTTGAGGTTGCAGTGAGCTATGATTGTGACACTACACTCCAGCCTGGGGACAGAGCAAGACCATGTCTTAAAAAAAACAAAAAACAGAAAACCATATCTTTAAATATTTTAAAATACAGCATAAACAGCAACTGCCTTATAATTTTTCAAAAAAGGCATAACATTTGGAAATAGAAGGATTATTTTCCTTTACTTCAGCATAATGTATGTGGCAAAATAACAAAAATGTGAACAATACTTACAGCTATGCTTATTGAACATTTTTTGTGTTTTGTTTATACACATTATTGCATTTTTTATTTAATTTCTACAATAACTTTGTGGTAAATATTATCTCTATTTTTCAGACTAGGAAACTGAGGATTAGAGAGGTTATATAACTTCATTTGGTTTACATTTCTTAACCTGGAAGTTGGTGGGAACAGTAAATAAATAAACAAATATTTATATACCATAATGTCAGTTACATTGAAGTGCTATGAAGAAAAGTTAGTGAGATAAAGGAATGGAAGTAAAGAGAGGGCCATATTAGGTCGGGTGGTCAGGGAGGGCTCTCTGAGGAGATGTTTGAACAGAAGCCTGGATAAAGTGAGACTGGCGTGAAAGGCATTCCCGGTTGGGGAAGTAGCAAGTGCTAAGGAGGAAAAGTTAGGAGGCCAGTGTGGCTGGAACAGACTGAGCAAGGGAAAATCACAGAGGGCCTTATAGGCCCTTGGTCAGAACTGGGGTTCTATGCTAGTGTGATGGGAAACCACTGGGGGTTTGAGCAGGATAATGACACCATTTGGTTTATATTTCTTAGGCTGCTATATGGAGAACAGACTATAGAGAATAAGAATAGAAGCAGGGTGACCTGGCAGGGGCCTATTGCTGTGGTCCAGGAAAGAGATGGTATCTTGGTCTAGGCTGATAATGAAGGAGACGGTGAGAAATGTCAGACCTAATTTGTATTTTGGTGAATTCATGCATGTTTATGGTGTTGTGGCCAGAGATAAGGTTATAACTTGTAGGTGGAACTGGCAGGATTGTAAAAGGTCACAGAGCTAGTGTGTGGCAGAGCCAGGATTCAAGTTCCATTTTGACCGATTCCAAAGCCCTGCTTATAACAACTTTCCTAGGCTGCCATGATGCTAAGCAAACACTAAGCATAAAAACAGAATGGAAGCGAGAGTATACAGACTCTTTAAGTGTTTATTGAGCACTTGCACACTTGGTAGTGAGGCCTTGTGGCACATAGCAAAAATTCTGGACTGGAAGGATAATAGAAGGTCAGAGTTCAAATTCTGCTTTTACCATGGGTCCTCCCTCATCACAGGTCACATGAATTCTAAGGTCCTTTCCAGATTTAATGCCCTGTTTTTCCACTATTCAGCAGCTGGAGAGATACAGCAGACAGTGCTGCCTACACAGGTGTACAGGGGAAGATAAGACTGATAAACATATGAGTAACATACTGATGATCATTGCAAGAGTAGGAGAGAGGTGACAGGACTAGAGATTATATTTTCAGTTTCAATACTATTTGGTTTAGTAGAAGTATTTGGAGGTAAATATTTACCATATTACTTTTAAAAAAAAAACAAGTCTATATGTTGTGTCATTCCAATTTACCGGATAAACTGAAATTTTATGTCTCATTCATCCAAATATTCAGGTCTTCATTCTGTTTACAAGCATTTAAAGTAATTGTGTATTAGGCATGTTCAGTAGCATTTATTGAGCAAATCTAGATGAAGACCTTGATAAAAATCTAAAAAAGAAGACTCGGACTTTTTTAGACTTTACAAAAATCTTGCTGGGTATTATTGTCCCTGCTTTTTTCACATTATAAATAAAACTTGAATCAGTTAAATAACTTGCCCAAGGTGGCTCATTTGGCAAAGAAGTGGGCCCATTACTTAAATCTGGATCTGCTGGACTTTTTGTCTTAACTACATGGGAGCCTATGAAAGCACTCTGTCCAGTTGGGGCCCAGGACAGCAGATGTGCTATGTTAACTATCTGAAAGGACACGGGGCATGGTGATCAGTGATCTAGAATAGGAGTAGGCAAACATTTTTTTGTAAAGGGCCAGATAGTAAATATGTTAGGCTTTGTGGACCATCGCAGTGTCTGTTACAACTACTCTTCTTTGTACTGTCCAATCTAGTAGCCACTAGCTATGTGGTCCTATTGAGCACTTGAAATGTGCTCAAATTTTAATTTACCCCTCCCTTCCATTCCTTATCATTTCTCTAGGGATTAATGCACAGTTTCCCAACTAGTCTTATTGTTTCATTTCACTTTCTTCCAATCCATCCTTCACAAAGCTAGAGGGAGTTTTCTAAAATCAAATAGGATCCTAGCCCTTCTCCAAGGTAATGGTTCCTGCAAACCTGAGAATGTTCACCCTGCTGAGATACCATATAAACCTTTTCTTTAGGAAATGACAAAGAGGTAAAAGATTTCCTTCTGTTTGATCAGATAAGTGATGGTAAGTTTCTTGAGAGTAGTCATTCATTATACTTTGTCTCCTTTAATGTTTTATATAGTGACTTGCTGAATGAAAGCGAAGAAAACTTGGATTTGGAGATGGAAACAAATTAGAACTCCACTTCTGGTATATGCTAGCAGTCACCCTAGACACTTAATTACCTCGAGCCTCACTATACTTCTGTGCTAAATAAGAGTGAAGATAACTATATCATAGAGTTATTGTGAAGATCAACAAATGAGCTTTGTGTAAATGAGCTTTGTAGAGATGTTCTGCACTTAATGAAAGGCTATACAAATGTTAGCTGCTATAATAAATGTTGAATTTTGAAATGTTTCTAAAAAGCAATACTGACCTGATTTTACCTAACAAATGTTCTTATGTTTAAAGCCAATCTGCATGAGGTGACATTAGGGATATAGGTCTTAAATGTTCAAGGGAAAGAAGGATGAAAAAGAACAATTTTAATCTATTTATTTCAAATACTCGCTATGAATTATCCATTTTCCGCCTTTACGTGTAAGACTTTGTTTCCTTCACTTTTGTTTTTCTAAACAAAATTTCCGCAATGGTAATGGGCAGTTGATTCTTGAGAGGTGAATGACAACGACATCATATGAGCAAGTCAGAAAGAAAGAAAAAGTAGTCATATCTTATTTTTTTAAACATCTTCAGAGACTTCAAAGGAGACTTTTTCAATGAGTTCTAGGAGTAGTAGTAAGAAGGACACTGCTATCAAATGGGAAAATAAGGTTAAAAAAACGGATGTTATCAGATGGGAAAAGGAAGTAAAAGACAAGTTTATATAGGAAGTGTTCTTTTCTCTTCCTTAGGCACATCCTGGAACATAGGATTTCTAAGGTTAAGTACACTTTTTATTAGATCACACTACATTTGAAGGTGGATTCATACCAATACTTCATTCCTTAGTTCTTGAAATTAGTGTGATTCCACTATCCTGTAAAATGCAAAAAGAGACATAATTTATGGTCAGTATCCTTTTTTTCTGTGAAGGGCAGTAAAGATTTATTATTCCTAGAACTTAAAGTTTCCAAGTTTCCAAAGCACTTAACAGATCTGTTTTAGAACATTTCTTATACTGCATGCAAATGTCCATAAAACCAACTCCGCTCCCCAAATTAAGACTTCTTGGAATATAAATAAATAAATATTTCACATTTATATTTATAATTTCACTCATCTTTATACGTTTGTCTCACCCCACCTCATAGTAGTTGGTACATAATAAACGACATTAGCAAACTGGTGGCCGTTCCTGCTTGTTCCCTGTGGTGTTTAAGTCTGCAATCCCCACTAGGTGCTCAGTAAATTCATATCAAAGACATAAATGATATGTCCAGGGTAATCAGGGTGACTCCTTAGCCACCCTCCCGAACACCACCTTTGAGCTGGAGAGAGGAACTGGTTGGAACTCCCAAACTGCACCCAGACAACAAGCTCTGCAGCCAGCAGCACTGCATTTCCTTTCCCTCTGAGACCTCAGCATCCAATATACAATCTTCGTGGGTATTTTGTTTCAAATCATTCTGCGGTTTGCATAGGCTTTAGCATATTTTAGATGTCCTTCAAAAAAATTTTTTTCAGGCCAACTGTGAGCAAGGGATCAAAATTTTAATTTAACAGTCTAAGCAGAACTTTTTATCTCTTTGTTATAGACCCCTCCCCAAGAGGAAGGGGATCCTGGGCAAGAGAAAGGGACGGGTTGGAGAGGAAACACCGGCATCTAAGTTGCAGAAATCTGGTCCCTCCCAGAGAGAGAAGAGCCAGAGGTGGGAAAAGGTTTAGAAGCAGAGGATCCCACGTGACCTCAAGCGCCCAGGGCTGAGCGGACTCCGCCCCTCCACCCGCCGCCGGGGGGCGCATGCGCAGCCCTTGTCAGTGATGGAGGAGAGAAGATGGCGGAAGCGGAGTGAGTGCCTTGCTGGTGACGGATGTCGAAACTGGGGGGCGAGTGAGGGCTGCGACACGTTCCCCAGGGGGAGAGTTCAGGGCCCTTTCGCGGTCACTGCGGGCAAAAGGAGACTCGAGAGTCACCTTATCGTGGAGGAGCCCGTTCGGCCCGTGTCAGGGGGCGGAGACGAACTGTAAGGGTTCAGTTACTCTCCTGGTGGGAGCGCCCCTTCCGCCGTCAGGTCCCAGATTGGCTGGGCCCTGCGCGCAGGGTCACCCCTGGGACCCCGGCCGCTAGGGCCTTCTGGAAAACGATCCTCGGTCGGTTCCTCAGGCGCTGTCATCCTGCAAGTGGGCCCCGCGGGTAGCCTTATTATTGATCGCTTGGGGGCCCGCGGAGGCCGGGTAGGGCTGGGCGGGCACTGTCAGGCCTCCTTCGCCCTCCCCTCCTTCCTGTCCAGGCGCCACCCAACTCCTCAGCGGGAGAACCGGAGACGTGGGGCCTCCCACTGCCCTCCCGCGGGAGGGCTGGAGGAGGTGCCCCAGCGCGGGCCTTACAGCGGCGGGGGCTGCTACGGGTCTGGTGAGGCCGAAGACACGCAGGAAGGAAGGTCTTTCCTTCGGGTCTCTCGCTAGAGTGTTGATGCATCCCAAGAGGGCCACATTCTTGGGTGTCGGTGTGATGGTATGCTTAGTTAGCGACTCTAAAACTTACTGTTTCCTGGGTAGGCCTGCTGTGCACCAGAACTGCTGGCTGTATTTTGTAGGTATTAATATGCGTAGATGGTGGAGTTACTAAAATTGCCCTTTTGTACCAGGCCTCAAAATGTAATGTGATGGTTTGGCCAGTTTCATGCACCAATGTTTAGACTTATGCCTAGAATTTGGATTCTCTGCGACCATTTTTGGTTAATAGTTACAACTGTTTACCATAGTGTTTGGGTTCTGGGGGGGGGGAGGCCTTGATTAAGCAGGATAACACTTTAAAAAGACCACAGTTTAAGCTGATCTTTTGCATATGACTGGTACATAGCACAGAAGTATTGTGACAGGCAGTAGTTTGGTAAAAAGTTTACTGTATTTACCACTAATTCTGTATAATGTTGAACAGTTACCATATAATGCTGCGATTTGATAATTGGAGGGCAGCTTGAAAAAAAATACCAGAGAAGCATAACAATCTATGAATCATTTACTAATCAAAAGAAGTGAGGAGTCAGTTTCCCCCAGCCCTTCACATTTTTCCTTTCAGTTTTCCTCTTTATTAAATGGAGGTTTTTTTTTTAAACCTTGGTTCCTCAGAACATGTAAATACTGTTTACATACGTGCTATAGAACAAAGAAAATTTGTACATAAAAGAAACCTTATGGGAATATGCAATTAGTGCCAAATTCCTTTGTTTTTCTGTGAAATAGAAAGTGTTCTTGTTACATTCTTGTCAATGCTGCTAATGTGAAGTGGGTGGGATTTTGTTTCTCAGAAGAAAAGAATAAGAAAAGGCAGATAAAACCAGTATCTCAAGTGTGCTTTTCACCATTGTGGTACATATCTGACCCTACAAAAACTACTGCTCTGGTTTCTAATAATATTGAGGCCCCTAGAATTGACTAAAAATGTTTGAATTTATTCACATACAGATTCTGTATTCAGTGGAATTTTGTGCTACAACCCAAGTGAAGTAAGATTGTAATATTGGAGGGAAAAGATCAGAAAGTCTGGTAAAAAATGTACTTTATTGTCCATACATGAGGAAAGTGACATAATTATGCTGTTTTAAAAATTTGGAGCAATTCTTTGTGAAAAAGAGATTTTGTAAGGATGTGCAAGTTGCTGTCAATTGCTTCTCTGTTTCCGCAGAATCATCTGCTCCTAAGTACAACTCAATTATTAGAAGTAGTAAGGACAGTTTTGTAGACTAATTAGGGGGAAAGCCAGTGCAAGTTAAAAAATTATTTTTTATTACTATTTTAAGATGACTTATTTTTTAAGTTAAGTATATCAGGTAACCAAAACCAAGCGAGTTAACAAAAGTCCTTAGGTATTCTATTTTAATGTATAGGTAAGAATGACTTTAATTTGTAATTAGTATAGTTAAAAGAATGTAAAGAAATATTTTGAAGTACTCTGATGTTGCTTAAATTTTTATTTTCACCTAGATAGTTTATTAGACTATTGCTGATTATTTCTTTGGAATGAATATTCTTTAAAGCTCACTTAGTAATACTTTTACCAATACAAACCCTTTGTGTTATCTGTTAGATTTAAGGACCACGGTACAGCTATGGATAACGAACCAAACCCTGGAACATCTTCTGTGTCAACAACAACCAGTAGCACCACCACCACCACCATTACCACTTCCTCCTCTCGAATGCAGCAACCACAGATCTCTGTCTACAGTGGTTCAGACCGACATGCTGTACAGGTATTTCAGCTATAATGATTAGTAGTTTCATATCCTGAAATGTACAGTTGGAATTATTAATAATTGAAACAATTGTCTTAGTCTGTTTTGTGTTAGATAACAGTACCACAGGCTGGGTAATTGATAAAGGAAAGAAATTTATTTCTCACAGTTCTGGAGGCTGGGGAGTCCAATATGAAGGTGCCACCATCTCATAAGGGCCTTTTTGCTGTAACCCTCCATGGCAGAAGGCGAGAGCAAGAAATCAAATTTGTAGCTTTAAGCCTTTTTATAATCTCCATTAATTCATTCATATGGGTGGAACCCTCAAGGCCTAATCGCCTCTTAAGGGTCTCACCTCTTAAAACATGGGAGATTAAGTTTCCAACACATGCTTTTGGGGGACACATTCAAACCACAGTAACAGCCAGCAAAGTTATTTAATATCATACTATTGAAAGGGCTTACATTTTTCAGCATGTAGCATGTAAGACTGTGCGTCAGGAAAATGATAATCAGAAGGTCTCTAGGTGTTGCTACAATGTGAAGACACTCAGCCTAGAGCCCCAACATGCAGAATGACTTTAGGTTTTTGTATTGTATATTGGAACCCAAAATTCAGACTTAGAGACATCTGGTCAGGTCTGTAGATGTGTTAAGAGGTTCATTTTAAACCCAGGTGACCTAAGAACTCTAAGCAGGAAGATTTATTCTAAAGATCTTAGGGGCAAGGGAATATTTAACCAGGAAAAGTCTTAAGCTCACTTAGTCAAGAAAGTAAAGTTTAGTTAGTTAGCCTTTATGATAATGGAGGTTGGGGCAAAATGGTATTGAATAAAAAGGGTGTGAGCCTTGTAGTCTGGTGTGCCCGTTTGTTTGAATTCCATTTTTGTTATATTTAGGAGCTATGTAGCCTTGGGTAAGAGGCATAATCTCCTCACCTCAGGAAACTACAAAATGAAGATGAGGCTACCTACTTCATTAGTTACTGTGAGGATTAAATGAAGTTTCCAGAACTGTGTGGGGCACATTATAGGTTTCCAATAAATAATAATAGCTAATACCTATTGAATAATTGCTATTGCCAAACATTTGATAAATGCTTTACATGAATTATCTGGTTTAATCATCACCATTTCTCTATGAAGTAGATACTATTCTTATCTCCATTTTACAAACGGGAAAACAGATGTTTTAAATAGGCTAAATAACCTTCCCAAATACACCTAGCTAGTTCTCTGACTTCAGAGCTTGTGCCCTCAACCACTCTGTGAATTATTATTTCTATTATACCTGATTTCTTTTTCTGTAATCCTCATAATTGCATTCTACCCTGAAAACAACTTAAATGTTTGTGTATAGTCCTCCCTCTGTTCCATTTTTCTATGGTGAATATCCCAGTAGGCTATTTAACTGTTTTATGGTTTATGGTTTAGTTTTCTGAAGTCATTGTGGAGTGGAATCAGAACTGTTGCAGACCCAGCCATTTCAGCAGAAATTCACTGAAATGCAGAGTGTGCTTTTAATGTTTTTTACCTTTCTCTGAGACAAGGGATACAGGGAAGAATATCTAGATCTTGGAGCATACAGATGATATGATATTTTAATATGTCATTTTGTTCTCTAGTGTTCACTTACACTGGCTGTATTAATAAAAAATAAAGTTACTGGAGATATGTAGATGTAGATATATCTCACAAATAGCAGTAATTCTAGTTCTTATGAGACACAGGATTGCTTCTCCTAAAATGCAGTTAAATCAATATTTATTGAACTACCTAAGTTGTTCTTTAATCTTCCAGCTTTCTTTTTCAGTCCTGTGAATTCTCTTCTCTTGCCTTGTTCCTATAGAGGAACAAAATAAGAACAATGTGCTGTACCTTTAACTTGTATTTACTCAATGCCATGAGTATAGCATTGAATACTAATGAAAGACTGGGCTAACTAGCACAATTCACAATTGCAAAGATGTGGAAACAACCCAAGTGCACATCAATACATGAGTGGATTAATGAAATGTGGTATATGTATACCATGGAGTACTATTCAGCTATAAGAAACAATGGTGATCTAGCATCTCTTGTATTTTCTTGGATAGAGTTGGAACCCATTCTACCCACTTCTAAGTGAAGTGCCCCAAGAATGGAAAAATAAGCACCACATGTACTCACCAGCAAATTGGTTTCGCTGATCAACACTTAAGTGGACATATAGGAATAACATTTATTGGGCATTGGGCAAATGGGAGGGGGCGGAGGGGATGGATATATACATACATAGTGGGTGCCATGAGCACCATTTGGGGGATGGACACACATGAGCTCTGACTTGAGGGGGAGGGGTGGCAAGGGCAATATATGTAACCTTGACATTTGTACCCCCATAATATGCTGAAATAAAAAAAAAGACTGGGCTAACAACAACAACAAAATCACTACATTCTGATAAAAATATGTGTCATATAGATTATTTGTTATCTCAGTTTGATTTTAAAATTTTGTTATGGAATTAGAAGAACATATACAGATTAGTCTGACCAAAAAGGACATATTGTTGTAATTCTTAATCACACTAATGCTGGTCTACAGTTCCCTGCCCACATTGATTTTGTGATAGGAATTTGTAGCAGGCATAGCAATCTATAGGTGGAGAGATGAGATATGAACACATGAAAGTAAATAACACATGGAAATAAGCTTTCTTGAAACTCAGATAAAGGGATTCATGACTTTGTAGCTCAAGATGTCCTGACTTAGACCCTCAAGCTATATAGGATTATGGCTATGTTACTCCTTTAGCTCTTTGAAAACTGTGGTTTGATACTGAGATTAGAGTTCTAAGCTGTTTCAGAGTTACAGTGTGTATGATGTGATTTTAGGATGTGGTTGTATAGGACTGATGTAGTCTGACTTAGCTTTTGGACAAGTATAGTATTTCACTTTGATATTACTAGAATACTGTTCTACATTTATTTGTGAAGTTCAGGCTCATTTTGCATTTTACTAATAAATGTTTATAGTAATTAACACTTTTTCAGGAAGTTTTTAAAGTAGCAATAGTTTTATTCTATGTTGAAACAATATAAGATATCAAACATTTTTAAAACATTTAAAAATGATTGGCCAGGGCCTGGCGTGGTGGCTCATGCCTGTAGTCCTAGCACTCTGGGAGGCCTAGGTGGGCAGATAGTTTGGGCTCAGGAGTTTGAGACCAGCCTGAGCAAGACCAAGACCCCATCTCTACTAAAAATAGAAAGAAATTAATTGGCCAACTAAAAATATATAGAAAAAAAATTAGCCGGAAATGGTGGCTCATGCCTGTAGTCCCAGCTACTTGAGAGGCTGAGGCAGAAAGATTGCTTGAGCCCAGGAGTTTGAGGTTGCTGTGTGCTAGGCTGACACCACGGCACTCTAGTCTGGGCAACAGAGTGAGACTCTGTCTCAAAAAAAAAAAAAAAAAAAGTAATGAAAAATGATTGGCCAGGCGCTGTGGTTCACGCTTGTAATCCTAGCACTCTGGGAGGCTGAGATGAGAGGATTGCTTGAGTTTAGGAGTTTGAGACCAGCCAGAGCACGAGGAGACCCTGTTTCTACCAAGTAGAAAAAGCAAAAAAAAAGAAAGATTATTGAGTAATTTTCTAAAAAAGAAATAGGTTTATAGTTTTACATGGTTATTAACATAATACCTACTCATTGTAAGATTTTCAGACATTTGAGAATAGCACAAACCAGGCTGGGTGCGGTGGCCCATACCTGTAATCCTAGCATTATGGGAGGCCGAGGCATGAAGATCACTTGAGGCCAGGAGTTCAAGACCAGTTTGAGCAACATAGTGAGACCCCTTTCTCTAAAAAAAAAAAAAAAAAAATTAGCATAGTGTGGTGACAACAGTTCTAGCTATTCGAAGGCTGAGGGGGGAGTATTGCTTGAGCCCAGGAATTTGAGGTTGTGGTAAGCTATCATTGTGACTGTGCCCAGGTGGCAGAGTGAGACCCTGTCTCACAAGAAAAGAAAAATACAAATCAGAAGCTAAAAATCACCTGTAATCTAGCTACCCACTAGTAATGTTTCAATGTTTTCTTGCATATTCTTTCAAATATTTCAATTAAGAAATGGTATCATATGCCATACACTATTTTGTAACCTTTTTTCATCTAATAATATAATTGGGATTTTTTTTGGTAAAAAAATCTATATATCTGCAGTGTGTTATAGTAGCAACTAGCTACATATGGCTATTTACATTAAAATTAAAATTAATTAAAATTCAGTTGAAAATTAAAAACTCAATGCTCAATAGACACTTGTGGCTAGTGGCTACTGTATTGGACAACACTGAACTACATTACTATTGGTAATGACTGCATGGAATTAATAAAATTATTTTTCTCTATACCCGAGCCCTGAATCCTACCAAGTTTTATTCTAAATGGTTAGACCAACTTAAATTCCTTCTGATAGTATGAGTATATGTGTTCCTCAGTTAGTAGTAGTAGTCTTTTAAATCTTTAACATATGAAAGTTGGAAAATGGTGTCTTATTTTAATATGTAAGTTTTTTGACTACTAGTGAGATTGAAGATGTTTTCAAATGATTATTTGGACCTTTTGTGAATTGTCTACTGTGGAGTTTTAATTTGTACAAATAGTGAATCCTAGTGATATGTAACTAGGAGAGAAAGATTTTAATAATCTTAATGCCATTGTATACTAAAATAGTGAAATTTTAAACTGCTACTTTTTTTAGACTTGCATTTTATGGTTAGGATAAAGATTAAGATTATGGTTTGACATTGATTCAATTGATTTACCACAGGTAATTCAACAGGCATTGCATCGGCCCCCCAGCTCAACTGCTCAGTACCTTCAGCAAATGTATGCCGCTCAACAGCAGCACTTAATGTTACATACTGCAGCTCTTCAGCAGCAGCATTTAAGCAGCTCCCAGCTTCAGAGCCTTGCTGCTGTGCAGGTGAGTCTGAACTTAATTAAGAATTTATGAGGCCAAAGTTTATATTTTCTCACATAATTACTGAACATAAATACATTGGATATTATTTCAGAGTTCTCAGATGTCCTGCGATTATTTTTCCTGAAGAAAATGTATTAATAGGCTGCCAAATAGATGTTGAGGGGAAAAAAAGGGATATCTTTTATATGTTACTCTGTTGCTAGGTTTTGTCTCATTGCTTTTTATCCAACTTGGAGAAATAATATGTGAGTGGCATGGTTTTAGGTATAAAATTCTAGGTACAACAGTGAATATTTAGGATTACATGAATTATATTTTAACCAAAAGTAAGGTTTTTAAAAATTATGTAAGTAACTTATACTCATTAAAAAAAATCAAACAATATAAAATTGTTAAGAGATGAATAAAGTAGAGGTGTTCCTTTTCCACACGTACTAGTGTTTCCCACTTTTCAGAGGTGGCCACTGTCACAGTTTAATATGTGTCTCTCCAGAAATTTTCTATACAAAAATATGTATATTCCTACTGATACCAGCATGCTTTTATGATTAAAGCTTGTTTTAAAAGGTTTTTTATTATTATTTTACTGTCTATTTAAATAAAACTCTGTGAGATTTAATCTTAAATTTTACCAGAGGAGGATCTCAGCTGCCTGAAGGTGAAAAAGGTTTATAAAAGTTTATTTCTGTTATCAACAGATTTCCAGTTGTTTCTGCTGCTTCTTAATAGTGTAATTTTAAGTAACATCGTGGTTATTATATGAGTTAGGAAACTGAAACCCACTGACTCTTGATGTAGCTCTCATTTCTTTTTCATAATTTTGGAATGGTGATTCCACTTCAAAGATGACAGAGACCTACAGAGTGAAACTGACAATAAGTGCAGCTAATGTAAGATTATCCTTTGGGTACCCTGTTTTCACCATTCAGCTTTTTCTTTTCTTTTTTTAAATCTGTTTGACCAAAATGTTAAGCCATCTTGACCGTAGGACAGTTGTTTCATACGTAGACCTTTTGATGTTTGTTGTTGTGGTTTTATATTATCATGATACTGGAAAGTTTTTAACTTTAGGTTTTTACCAACATATTATAAAAGTCTTATTATTTTAGGCAAGTTTGTCGAGTGGAAGACCATCTACATCCCCCACAGGAAGTGTCACACAACAGTCAAGTATGTCCCAGACATCTGTAAGTGCTCTAAATTTTTTCCTTGTTTAAAAAAAATTACTATTTTTCAGAAGTAAACTGTTGCTCTTAATGCACCTATTATTGTATATTTGTTGCATGCTACTTAAGTAATGGGTGCCTAGAAATAGGAATGATGAAGTTCAAGAATTCAGAACTAATATTAAACTTACAAAAATCTGAATCTTAAAAATCTTTTTGTATTATTTCTTATACATCCTTTCAAACTGATTATGTTCACATCTTATGTGATTCTAAATGATTTCAGTTTTCAGTGTGTTTTGAAAGCCTGAAATATACAATGCAGCGGTATTGGCCATTCATTTACTGTGAAATACTAAAGTATGTCATGTCCTTGGTACACATTTGAGCATTTCAAGCTTTGTGCAATTCACATTTTAGGAATTATACTTTTCAGCTTACTTGAGTTATCTGTGTCAAATTTGCAAATATCTGTTCAAGATAGAGTAATTTATTTTGAGAAAGGAGTAAAAGAAAGCTGTTTTGCTACCTTGTGTATATACACTGGGAAATTGTACAAAGTTTCCCAGGTAAAATAAATTTATAGGCATGGTAATACTTGTTTAACTTTTTATTTTGATGTAATTTCAAATTGTAAGAATAAAAAAAATTTGGTATGCCTTCTACTCAGATTTACCAACTGTTAGCATTTTGCCCCATTGCTTTATCATTCATTCTTTCTTCATGCATACTTTTTTTTTTTTAAGGAATCATTTGTGGGTAAGTTGAGACATGCTCTTTTATTCTTAAGTACTCTGATGAGTATTTCCAAATAATAAAGTTATTGTTTTAGGAGGCTACAGGAAAATTAGTAAATTTAGGAAATCTAACATTGATACAATATAGTTCATATTCAGATTTCATCATTTGTCCCAGGTTTCTCAACCTCATCACTATTGACATTGTGGGCCAGATAATTCTTTGTGTAGGGGGGATATGTACATTTATAGGATGTTTAGCAGTATCCCTAGCTTCTACCTACTGGATAACAGCAGGCCGTGGCCTTCCTCCTTCCCCCAGTGTTTCAAGCAAAATTGCCCCTGGTTGAGAACCATTGAGTTATTAATGGTTAATTAATAATGGTTACTTAATAACATCATTATTAATGGCTAATTAATAATGTCCTTTTTTCCTAATCCAGGAAGATAATACTTCGATACTTTGTAAAATTGACTCCTATAGAATATAGTTTGTAGGTTGTTAAGGAATTGAAGATGAGCTTGTGCTGTATTTCTTTAGCTAAAGATATGGCCTTTGCTAAGTACATGCTGTGGTCAGCATATAGTTATTTTTTTTGGCTACTGGTATGACATTTTTAATTTAAAAAATTCTTTTTTTATCATAGGAGTATCCTGGAGTGTGAACAAAGTTAGTTTAAAAAATTACTTATGACTTGATGTTACACTAAGAAAATGAAAAATTTAAGTCAGGAGTCCTCAAACTTTTTAAACAGGGAGCCAGTTCACTGTCCCTCAAACTGTTGGAGAGTGTGCACTGTGGGCTCCGGACGAGTTGGCTGTGGGCTCTGGACGAGTTGGCTGCTAAGCAGGACAGGCAGTGGTGGCAAAAACACCTGGGGGGGCTGGATAAATGTCCTCGGCGGGCAGCATGTGGCCTGCGGGCCATAGTTTGAGGATGCCTGATTTAAGTCATAGCTCTAAGCATTAATACTGTAGTTATGGTTATTGATGTTAGATGTCTTTAGTTAATAAAATGGTATTAAGGAAAGGAGTGGTAAATATTTTGTGGGCTAGTCAGAGAAATTATAGACAAATTCTTTATTCTGTGAAATATTGGAATAATGTTAGAGTCTATCTATCTATCTATCTGTATAGATATATTTTTTGAATTTTTTCCTTCACATTATTAAAAGATACTCTTTGAAATAGTTTTAAATAGTTTTCTATCTTAATGATTTTATGTCTGTGACATTCACAAAAGTTATTTTTTATGACATTGTTAATGCTACTTGTCTTGAACCAGATAGCATTGTACCATGAAGTATTCCAGAACCTTTGAATGGCTGGTGGGGAAAAGAATTAAGGAGAGGAAACAGATGCCTAGTTAAAAAAAGGAGTAATACATCACATTTGTTTTATTTACTCCGGATGAGGTACTGCTCAAGTGAGTTGACTAGCAGTACAAATTATTAATATAATGCCCAAAATAGCTTAGTAAATTTAGGTCAATATCCAAAAGAGGGAGAAAGCATGGTAACAGAAATCTCTAGGTAGTGATAATAATGAGGCATCAGGTGGTAGTCTAGTAGTTTGCACAGTTTTGGTTATTTTGAAGTGGGTTTCCAGATAACAGTGAAGCCATTTGGGAGCATCCAGCCTTTAGGAGAAAAAAGGGCTCCAAGATAGACTGTCAGATAACCAGCCAAGTAGTTTGGGGTTTAGAGTAGGAGTGGGACACCAGTGGGGAAATGGAATATTATTTAAAAATTGAGTCAGAAGTTCAAATTATACAACCTGGGGAAATTGTGTACTGGTTGAGTATCCCTAATCCAAGAATTTGGTTACAAAATCTGAAATTTTTGAGTGTTGACGTAGCACCCGAAGGTCCCAAGTATTTCGGTAAGAGATGCTCCACCTGTATGTGGTTTGGAGAGAAGACCATGGTTAATTGAATGTATAGGCAACAAGTGAGTGTCAGCATCCTTTTCTTTTCCCTAGTTAGAACAGGACATCTAATTGTAAACTGTTACCAGTAGTGACAGTGGTAATTTTATGATTGGCTCTAAAACTAATTGGTTCTAAGCCTTTAGGTTGGTTTCTTCGGTATTTCAACTATTGGGGTTAAGATTTATTAAATTTGATTTGCTGAAATGAAATTTAAACCAATTAAAAACTCTTGCTGTCCAAAAAACAACATAAGCAAAGTTAAATAACAACAAAATGGGAGAAAATATATTTGCATCATGTATGTCAAATGGCTAATATTTCTAAAATACCAATGGTTCTTTTATAGTCAGGTGAACAATGAGAAATCACAAAAGACCTTAATTGGTAATTTTTAAAACAAAGATTAATTTTGGCTTTTAGACACATGAAAATAGACTTACTATATTAATAAGAAAGAAATATATGTAAAAATAACAGTGGTCTGTCAAATTAGAAAACAAGGAAAAACATTTAGCAGTACTCATTGTTGGCAAGGATATGAAAACGTAGGAAATTCTGACACTATTAGTGGGAATGTAAATTGGTACAACTTTTCTGGAGGATTATTTGGCAATGTGTGTGACAATTTAAAATGTGCGTGCCATTTCACATAGCACTCTAACTTTTAGTGGTATAAAAATGATATAAGGAGAGGGGCAAAAAGCTACCTAATGGGTATAGTCAACACTCTTTGGGTGATGAGCACACTTATATTTGTGACTCAGGCATTGCAAAAGCTATCCATGTAACCAAAAACATTTGTACCACCTTAATAAAAAATAAAATAAAATCTTCCCAAGTGATTCTAAGATGCAGCCAAGCCACAGAACTCCAAGTGTAACCAGGTCCCATACCTACTGACCTGCATTGTCCAATATGTTAGCCAATACCCACATGTGACTATTTAAATTTAAATGGATTAAAATGACATAAAATTTAAAATTCATTTCCTCAGTCATACTAACCACTTTTCAAGTGCCCAATAGCCATGTGTGGCTAGTGGTTACTGTATTGGACAGCACAGATCTAGAACATTTCCATTCTTGCAGAAAGTTTTTTTAGAGAGTGCTGTAAGACCAGAGCTGTCCAATGGAAATGTAATGCAAGTCATATATATAGTTAAAATTTCTCTAATAGCCACATTTAGTGAGTGAATGGAAACAGGTGAAATTAATTTTTATAAAGTTTTCTACATCCAGAGGAGTGTCATTTCAGCATGTAATCAATATGAAATAAATTAAGGAGCTTTCTTACAAAAAAAGATACAGATAATTATGCCCAAATGCATGGTTATAATAATGAAAAATTATAAATAATATAAATGTCTATTAATCATGGGTTAGTTAAATAAATGATAGTTAATTTATATAATGGGATACTATAGTTACTAAAAAATGTTGTGTATGTATCTACAGAGAGACTTGGGTTTTCATTATGTAATAAGTGATAAAAGCAAGAATCCATAGTATAATCTCATTTAACTTATTTATTTTGGTTATTCAGTTTTTTAGTTCTGCAATTTCCATTTGACTTTTCTTTATGTTTTTTATTTCCTTGCTGACACTTTTTTCCATTTGTTTCAGGTGTGCTCATAATTGCTTGTTTGAAGCATTTTTGTGGTGGCTACTTTAAGATTTTTGTCAGATAATTCTAATATCTCTGTCATCTTGATGTTGGCACCTATTGTCTTTTTTTGTTCTATTTGAGGTGATCCTGATTCTTGGTATGATGAGTGATTTTAGCTTGAAATCTGGACATTTTTAGTGTTAGGTTATTTAAACCTTTTGTTTTGGCTGGTTTCTGAATGGGAGGGTGTGCCATTTCCTTACTGCCATATGGGGGTATAAGTCCAGGTTCCCCACTTGTAGTGGGGAATCTGTGGTCTGTGGCCTTCCAGATCCTTTAGTGTGGCCTTTTGACTGAATCCAAATTTTATAGAAACAAATCCTTTTATTAAAAGGGGCACAGTGAAGAAAGATGAAGCTTTCTTTTTTTTTTTTTTTTGCCTGTTTGGTGCTTAAAAAAGAACAGTGTTGAAATCAGAAAGCTGTAGGTTCCTGACCCCACACTAAACCATTGGAGGAACTGGGGTTGTTTCTTACAGTCTGATGGAGTGGAAGTCTAGTTCTTTTATGTGTGAGTGGGGTCACAGTTTTTTCTATAGTGTTTGGCTGGAGTAGAGCAATTGTTGTCTAAAAGTTTTCTATGTTGCTAGGCTGTCCCTTTCCTGGTCCTTGGGCTAAAAAGAATAGGCTTTTGTTGGGTTTTATTTGTTTGTGCCTGTGGTGTTTCTGGGTTGCTGACTGACATTTTCTG